GAGCGTCAGGTTAGTTCATGTCAACAGCAACAAAACAAAAGGTCGCTTACATGTTTGAGCCTTAAACTCTACACAGTGCATCTCCTCTGAACGTTGTCCTTCTGCTCCACAGGGTTAAACATCGCCTATCTGAACCCAGCGGCTGTCGGAGCCCATAAGAGCTCCAGCTTAGCAGACCGGCAGAGGGAGTACCTGTTGGACATGATCCCGCCTCGATCCATATCGCAGTCGATCACTGGACAGAAATGAGCCCTGTCCAGCTCTTGCCCCTCGAAGCCACCTTCATCTTCATACCTAAACCATACCGAAGCACTCCTAAATCAGTCGATCCCCTCTCCTCTTCACCTCTCATCGCATGCAGTGCCTGTCCATGTGCCTACCTTAAACTGACCCATAAAAACCCCACCGAGTTGGACGAGGACTCTAAACGACCAGTGCATTTGACATGCTCTTAATATAGTAAAATCCTTCTTCTTCAGTCTATTTAAGAATTATAATTCCCCTTATTATAACTGGTGGTAGCATTATTATTCCTACAACTACCATATTTGCTTCTGTTACTATTACTCATTATGCTTTCTCCTTTTGATCGTTTGTTTTTCTGCTGTTATCTTTGACTCTGGGTAGTGACGGCCTGTCGTTGTCATATAGCATTTTTTTTTCTTTATGATTTGTCCTAAAGCTTAGCTGCGATCGTTGCTAGTAACAGAAGATCAAGATGATGCGTTCTGGTTGCTATGCAACTTACAAGCTTTGTAAAATAGTCTCGACTCGGACGAAACTGAAATCCCGACGGGTACAAAAACAGACGGTTTGAGGCTCTGCATGCTCTTGAAAAGAGGATGAAGAACCCATTTTAAAAATGGAGAACGTGGAGGGAGGGAAGGAGGGAGCGGCAGAGCAGCCACACCTGTACGATCTCCCTGAAAGGGCCTGCTTCACAGCGACACTCAGCCAAAATTCTGATATGCTAACGTTAAGTTTCAGGACAGCGCCGGAGATTCTGCCACCGATGGAGTTGACGAACTGGAAGCAAAAGAAAACCCGTGTGATCAGTGTTCGGATAACCTTCGCTTCCACCGTCGTTCACGAAAAGCTTCTTATCAGGTTCTTCATTTCAGATTGAAACAGTAACACTTTTTTATGCTGGATGATGCTTAAGTTGTACTGATCACGATGGACAGTCACAGCAGTTTACCACCTGCCTCGTCAGGAGACCAGCAGTCAGTCGAAACTCCAGCGAGAAGGAAGCCGACGGGCGTGTCGTCTGCATACCTGCCAAGTATTCGCCTGCTGATGCTCTGTTGGTCTCATCCCATTTCACTATTTGCCAGTGACCTACTAAACCACCACCATACTCCCCACCCCAACCCTTCGGCTGTTCAGTATGCACAGACTGAACCCTTTGACCCCGCTGTTCCTCGTGGCGTCGCGTGTTCTTTGAGCGAAAAGACCTCAAAGCTAAAGGTGGAAGCGCATTTTGTGCGTCCAAACCACAGACTCTGTAACTACAAATCTGGGTTCTTCTTCTTTTTATATTTTGGTTTTTAGATTATTTTCTAAATGTTGTGCAACACCCATTCCCGAACCCTAACTACTATTCCCATCCCTACCTCATCCCTTTTCGTTTGTTCGTTTAAACTTTATGCGGCGTCTCCTAATAAAACGGTTGCGTATCTGAGAGGTACGGCTGCCGGAGACGATAATAATCAACATAAAACAGAAACTATTAAAATGTCTGTATGGATTATGTATAGATAGCTAGCTTCAGAGAAAAAGGATGTGGATTTTATCTTTTAAGGAGAGGCACGGCTCAATCATCGTGTGAATGCTCTGCACACGTTTCCTCTACAGAGGAGCCCTGTGCATATTTCAAATTAGATGTTTGTGTGGAGAAGAGTTAAGAGTGGCTGCGGTCTGGATGCTGGCTGACGGTGAACCAGAGTTGGTGAGGTGTGTGTTTTGTGTTTCTCGTTTTGTTTTATTTACAGGCTCCCCAAAAGATGTTTACATGCTT